GTCATTCCTAATTCAAGTAATCTGGGTAAACAGTCACTCAGTGGTAAGAGCCATTCCTAATTCCCGTAATACTAGGTAAATGGTTACTCAATGTTAATAACCATTCTTAATTGCAGTAATACTAGTCAAAAGATCACTCAGTGGTAAGAACTATCCCTTATTCCAGTAATACTAGGTAAAAGATCACACATTGGTAAGAGCTATCCCTTATTCCAATAATACTAGTCAAAAAATCACTCAGTGGTAAGAACTATCCCTTATTCCAATAATACTAGTCAAAAATCACTCAGTGGTAAGAACTATCCCTTATTCCAATAATACTAGTTAAAAAATCACTCAGTGGTAAGAACTATCCCTTATTCCAATAATACTAGTCAAAAGATCACTCAGTGGTAAGAACTATCCCTTATTCCAATAATACTAGTTAAAAGATCACACAGTGGTAAGAACTATCCCTTATTCCAGTAATACTAGTTAAAAGATCACACAGTGGTAAGAACTATCCCTTATTCCAGTAATACTAGTTAAAAGATCACTCAGTGGTAAGAACTATCCCTTATTCCAGTAATACTAGTTAAAAGATCACACAGTGGTAAGAACTATCCCTTATTCCAATAATACTAGTCAAAAGATCACTTAGTGGTAAGAACTATCCCTTATTCCAGTAATACTAGTCAAAAGGTCACTCAGTGGTAAGAGCCATTCCTAATTCCAGTAATACTGGGTAAGCGGTCACTCAATGATAAGAGCCATACCTTATTCCAGTAATACTGGATAAGCCGTCAATCAGTGGTAAGAGCCATTCTTAATTCCAGTTATATTGGTTAAACGGTCACTCAGTGGTAAGAGCCATTCCTAATTCCTGTAATACTTGAACAGTACAAGGCTTATAACGGCATCAACCTACTTGATACAGGGTTCGGTCTTTTTTGTATATTTTGTATGAACATGATGTACATTTGGAAACGTGCACTATATATGTTATGTTCTACTCGTTTTCATACTTGTTTCTTCATTATTATATGTATTTGGCAAGTGATATTATTCCCTTTTTGATTGGTGTAATATGCATAAAAATATCCAATTTGGAGGAGTCGATGACTGTAGCAGTTTCACACACTATCCAAGAGTTTTTACAATCTTGAGGTTTAAATCAATTTAAATTCCTTTTGTGGTCGTCTGTAAAACCCATGATATAATATTCCTTTCAAAATTAACAATTTTCCTTTTCTTCTTCCATCGTGTAGAGAAAATTGCAACGTTTTGGACGTATGTAGGTAAGTCTTCTTCATCAAAAGAAAGATGAGAAGGCGATGGAGTAGCAAATACGTATTCCTTTAGTTGAGGGGTAGAGAGCATCAGGCCCAATGGAGGCCTGAAATTCCCATCAAAGTTTTTATTTGGAAGGACACCTATAATTAAGTTTTGTTAGGGAAGAATTTTTTACTACGCTACTACGAGGAGGCGGATTTCAGCAGCAGCAGCAGTAGTAGTCGCAGTAGTAGTGTTATAAACAAAAGTCCTGTAAATAGCAGAAAGAACAACACTTTCCTTTCTAAAAGCAAAAAGTGGATTAAGTAAATGGAAATATAATAGTTGTCATTTATTATTAACAAGACAATTTCGAACCATATAAAACGTTGACGTAATTGACTTTTCCTTGTCTTCCCGCACAATATTCTCTTTTCACAGATTGGATTTAGTTTCATTACTGTGTCATACCACTTAAACTGCACGAATAAAAGAAACGATGTCATATTGTTTGTAAATAATCAACCATTTTTACTTAATGGCCTAACAACGATTTGGGATTGATTAAAAGGAACATCTGCAGAGGAGTTATAGTTTAAATCACGACCACTAGATTTAGGCTCAATTAAACGTGTTAATCATAGCAAATAATGCTAACAACCTTGACTAAAGAGGAGAAGTGCGTTGGCTTTCCGTTCAATACCTTCTAGATGATTCACGCACTCTTTTGACCCGACATATAAAAACGGATACAAGACTGAACAGTAAAAATAATAACCCGATTTACAATGATAAGGAGATAGTATCTCAAATCTTTCTCTGAAGAAAAATCAAACCTGGTACCGGCAATTTAAATGAATGAATTCTACTCTACAACTAACTTTTGCCAGTAATCATCAATACAATATTTGGGTAAGCACACGCACTTGTTGCCACGGCAGATAATGGGACAATTTTCTTCTTTCCACCTGAAGCAAGATACTACATGTATAATCAATAAGAATTCTCTCTCTCTCTCTCTCTCTCTCTCTCTCTCTCTCTCTCTCTCTCTCTCTCTCTCTCTCTCTCTCTCTCTCTCTCTCTCTCTCTCTCTCTCTCTCTCTCTCTCTCTCTCTCTCTCTCTCTCTCTCTCTGTGAGGTCAAGTATCATTTCGTTATTAAATGTCTTTTCCGATGTTTTTAAACCTCTCCCACATTGGAGACTGCATTTATTTAGCATTTATTTACCACCCTCACATGGTTCGGTAACAAAAAGACAGAAATGCAAAGAAAAACACGAATATTCGTGTTTCAGTCTGATTCGTCAAACAATAAGAATGATACTCCAAAAAGAATATTTTCTAGAAATAGTCTTGCAGACATCATCATCATCACCGTCGTCATCATCATCATCATCATCATCATCATCATCATCATCATCATCATCATCACTTTCCTCCGAAACCGCGCCATTTCATTGAATTCAGATATGTGTAAAGAAGACGGTATAATATTTGTCTTTCATTGAAACGTCGATAATAAGGTCAATTTTTTCATGCAATGTCATTAGTTTTAATTTATAAAAATAAAAATGGAAAACTAAAATATGTAATGAACTATGTATGATATTTCACTTTACAGGTGTAATGTTTTATATCTTCATTTACTCGTGAAGTATGAATTCGAGTTCCTTCCCTTCGCTCTTTCATTTTGTATACAGGGGATGTTAATTTGTTTGTCTTCTCGAAGAAATATATATATATATATATATATATATATATATATATATATATATATATATATATATATATATATATATATGAAACTGGATGTGGTATGACACGATAAAATGCCTAATATTATGGCGAGCTCAAAGGGTCAGAGAGCCTGTCATTTTGCAACAGTATAGGTGTACTTGTCGGTGGGCAAGAGTTACCGGAGTAAGGTAAAGAAGCAAAGTTAACTAGAATTCGAATAATTTGGCTTTCTTAAAACAATTACCATCCGTGTTTTTACAGCTATACCAAGAAGCATCATTTGACGTTATTAGACAATAAAGGCGTTGTAACTTAATGACATTTAAGTATGAAATAATACAGGTTGTATTTAGTATAATCACTGTGTCATACCACTTAAACAGTGGGAATAAAAGAAACCATGTTATATTGTTTGTAAATAATCAACCATTTGTACTTAATAATAGAATAAGTAAATAACCAGATATTACTGATGGATTTTACATTAATCAAACTTTCTTGTTTTAAATTAAATTTAAAGTTACTATGAACAGGTCCCTTGCCAAGCCTACTATTTCTCATAGTTCTGGAAGCAAATGATATTGTCTGACGGTATTCTACATTTAACTGTAGTTAATTCAAGCACCTTCATATATGTATGCATATATTCCAGAAATTTCCACCACAGATTACAGGCAACAAGTAAAGAATTACATTTTTTTCCCCAGTAAGTAAGAGATTTCACTTCCGAGATACATTAAGAAACCAGATTTAAGAAAAATTGGCCGAAGACGCCGTTAAGCTTCGTTTTTTAAACATAAGATGGTAATTTATCTCTACTTTGACATAAACCGGAACTTGGAGAAGAAAAAACCGGAAAAGCCAATTTTAAGCAACGATTTCTTCTAGACAGCGGAAACAACGCATAAATAATCCTTTGTTTACCTATAATTGCGGTTGTCTGAAATGATTAATCTTCATTACATTCTTCGTATTGAACTGCTTGGAAAATATTCACCCAAAGAAAAACAGCCGCACAGAACCAACCGTTAATTCCCTCAATACTCTACGCAATTTCTGCGTGAAAGTGGCGCTAGTAGTTAAAGTACCGTAAGAAGTACCGCACATACAAGCTTACAAGTCGAGTCAAACTGCAAACAACGAAGATCCTGACCTGCCGCAAGATAAAGCACCTGTAGATCAGGGTGTATGTTGTTTGTTCCACTGATTACTCCAGGCAAACTGCACAGACCCAGATCTGTTTGCAGTTGGACTCATCTTTTAAGCGAGTATTCAAGGCTATGGTTGTTATGATTCTGATAGTAGTAGCAGTAGTAGTAGTAGTAGTGGCGGTGGTATTGGTGTTGGTTATGGTGTTGGTGGTGGTAGTAATAGTAGTAGTGTTGGTGGTGGTAGTAGTAGTAGTGGTGGTGGTGGTGGTAGTAGTAGCAGTAGTAGTGGTGGTGGTAGTAGTAGTAGTAGTAGTAGTAGTAGTAGTAGTAGTAGTAGTAGTAATAAAGTGGATAGTGACTATAAACGTGCACGAGTTTGACATTGGACGCAGACCAGATGGCAGTGTTAATTTTGGCATTCAAAGTAATAGCCGTGTTTGTTATGACGTCGGTACTCGTAGAAGCAGCAGTGATTATAATAGTGGCTTCTGGATAAAAGTATTTTCCAATCAGCAATAATGTATATTACACATTATAATTTAACTTGACACACTCAAGTATGAGTGTGCATGCAATACAAGGACACCATTTATCGCTAGCTGAATTTATTTTGAGAGAGAGAGAGAGAGAGAGAGAGAGAGAGAGAGAGAGAGAGAGAGAGAGAGAGAGAGAGAGAGAGAGAGAGAGAGAGAGATATTTGGGTTTTTAACGTAGCTTTTAAAAAAAATACAGTCATATTGCCACGCTGTCTGCAGTGTGGCAGTTTATAGTGATGTCTGACACTGGTGCATCGTGCCTCAGACAAGTAGCATGATATCCCACAAGTCACATTATCCTGACACCAGGCCAAAAGTCCTTGGCATGATTCGGCAGGGGTTAGAACCCGCAACCTCCCACATCCGGGGCGGACGCTCTAACTGCTAGGCCACCGGAGCGGTTAAGTAACATTTGAAATGGTTTTTATATTCAACTCTTTCTATTGTCCAGATCTCATTGGAAATTAATTTGAGTAGCTAGTACATAATAATATTTCTTGAACAAGTGCCTATACTATAGGGTTTTGTCTAGATTTTAAATCTTAAAAATAAAGAAATAGCTCACGATTCAGTTCTCTTCTTTATTAAATTTTCATAGAGATTAATCATGTACAGTGGAGACTTACCCCGATGTCAAAGTACTTAGCACACCTGCCAACACTGTACAGTCAAAAAACTATCGATTCTGCAGGTAGAAAATAATTAAAGTTTCGCCCCTGTTACGATTGCGAGAATGCAGGTCACGTTGTAAGCAGCTTAGGAGAAGTCGTCGTTTACTGTTTCTTGTGTATTTTTAGTACCTGTGGCTATGTTTGGCGACATATTTGCATCATTGTTGACCTTTATATCCTGGACTTTCTTTCTAATTTCTAAAATTTTGTTAAAAAGTGTTCGTCGAGTTGTTTAATAGTTTGCCTTAAAAATATTTTCTGCAAAGGCGACCAGTTTTGACAGCGTACATGCAACATCTGAACAAATTTAAATGACATTTGTGCCAAAAGGTTTTTTTTCATATTGGTCTGTTCCGTGCTTTTTGAGTAGACGTTGTTTCAATAAAAGATCTAGCTTTAGTAACGGCAGACATATTTAATAATGTATGAGCATTCACTAAAGAAATTGGAAAGACTTTAATATCGAAATATTCTTTTGTCGTGTGTAATTTGACTAAGGGCTTTTTTTATCAACTTTATACGGACACAGTACGACGGACATAGGAAAATGAACAACGAAGGACTTTAATTTACTTTTAATTACGCTTAGGTAAACTAAACTAAAAGCGCATCATTACACAAAATCTTGATGTCTGTGTACAAGATTTCCTTTGTAAGTTTAAACAGTCACATAACCTGCAACTTCCGCATCGCATAGTAACTAAACAGTATTCTCGTGCTTCTAATAAGACAAATGCTAAGCATCAAAGTGTCCATCCTTGACCGTTAGAATTCTATACCACGAATCAAAGTGTCCATCCTTGACCGTTAGAATTCTATACCACGCATCAGTGTCCATCCTTGACCGTTAGAATTCTATACCACGCATCAAAGTGTCCATCCTTGATCGTTAGAATTCTATACCACGCATCAATGTGTCCATAATTGACCGTTAGAATTCTATACCACGCATCAGTGTCCATCCTTGACCGTTAGAATTCTATACCACGCATCAAAGTGTCCATCCTTGATCGTTAGAATTCTATACCACGCATCAAAGTGTCCATCCTTGACCGTTAGAATTCTATACCACACATCAAAGTGTCCATAATTGACCGTTAGAATTCTATACCACGCATTAAAGTGTCCATACTTGACCGTTAGAATTCTATACCACGCATCAGTGTCCATCCTTGACCGTTAGAATTCTATACCACGCATCAAAGTGTCCATCCTTGACCGTTAGAATTCTATACCACGCATCAAAGTGTCCATACTTGACCGTTAGAATACCAAGAAGTCATTTAACAACAATCTGAGGAAAAGACACATTTATTCGTTTTTTCTTTTGTTTTTGTTTTTTGTTTTTTTTGTCATATATGGTCTCCACCACCTCCCAACCCAAAACTTAACAGAATACACTTTTGTTTCCGACTAGCATGTAAATATATGATTTACACACTGCTCCAACCCTCTGATTTACACACTAGACAACGCCCTCTTCCACACTGTATATTTTTAAAATAGGAAGAATATACCCACACGACAGAAGAGTAGTGTTGTTGGGGTTTTTTAAATTGAATTGGTTTTAAAATATATTCTTCGATGTTTGTTTGGTTGCTTTTGCTTCGTCTCTATTTTTATTTTTGTTAGGGTTTAAAAACATAAGATTCAATCACCCACCCTTCACCCTTAAATATAAAATCGTATGGCATTGCTTTTCAAAGCTAACTTCTCGTGTAATAACCGATTTACTCAGCTCAAGCATAACGCAGCTAACATAACGAAATGAACGCCATATGAACTTTTATTTTCTCCTGCACGTTTTTAGAAAACGTTGATTTGACTACCCCGAGATGAAACTTTTTCAATAGATGCGCCAGTATATAGTACTGTGGCGGGTGACTATTCTTTCTAACATGTCAAAAAGAAAATTCTATCACATGAAAAAATATCACGCAATGCAGTTTCGTTAACTTCATATTACTCAAAATCAGTATGTTTTTTTTATACAGCGTAACATACAATTTGTGTATTAGTAATATTCATGAAAATTGTTTTATAATAATTGCAACAAATTTGGACGCAAACAATAAATAAAATTTTTACACATGCATATGAAGTGACTGAGATGACGATTGTCGGCCACATTACGAATCTGTGCGACTAAACTCGACCGGTGTAAATTATTGTATAATTCCTCTGCAATATATCAATGGAAATTAAGAACATAATTTTAATCGGACATCAAAAGACACAGATTGTATTTGACCTGCAAGCAACTGTCACTGTAACGAGTATCTGTGTTAATTGGTTCCAAAAAAATAAAATAAAAATGCTTTACAAAAATAAAACGATCGTATTGTTCTAAATATTGACAGCGCTGTACTATATGAACAACTTTTACTACACCAGTTCAATATCTTTTTTAAGCAAATCTTGTTTCGTGTTTCTAATACGACATGCTGCTCGATAAAAAATTAATGGAAATGAATAATTTCTTTCGTGTCGGAAAAGAATTTTTTTATATAAATTTATTTTATAAACTTGATGATTATAAAAACGTGTAATAAACATATTAGGTCAACGATAACAAAGCAAAGAACTGCTACATGCTAACTGTACAATACATCAGCAAAATAAAAACAAGTAAAATTGTTTTGAAGAATCAAATAGTTACATTTTCGATGGAACAAATACGACCTTTTGTCTTGTCAGATTTGATTATCGCTATTTAGAATCTGTCTTGAAGCTTGACCGGTTCGCTTTGGTATAAAGAGTAAAAATAAACTACACTATATACTTTGCTTTTTTATTTCTTTTGCACTTATATGATATTTTAAAAATTTCTCTTAGCTTTCACAAATTTGAAATAAAAATCTCACATAACGTGATTCGTCCATATTTCAGAAGTTCTATTCATACACAGATCTGTAAAAGATAAATCCCTCAGAGAAGGAGTATACATTTCTTTTTGATAAAAATATGTTGCCTAAACCACGGCTAATTTAGAATATAACTGGACGTAAAATAGACAAATATATAATATAATCAAATAGAAAAGCTGTGGTTATCCAATAATAATATGAGTATTGTAAACGAATCTATTTACATTCCAATTCTAAATCTCATATCTTGTATGAGATAATTATAGCTTTAAACAGCTTTGTACTATTGTCATACAGGGGACCAAAAAGGGGAACAAAATGATACAGTGTTTGGTATATAATAAGCCCATCGAACCTAGATCCTGCCCGACTTCTAATTGAGACCCCCAATCACTGCTTTAGAAATCCAGATTGGTGGGGGGTAACGAAGAAGCAACAAGGTACCCATGCCCTGGGGGTGGTTAACTGACTCTTGAAACATGTTTCAGAAGGTGAAATTTTGAAACATGTTTCAGAAGGTGAAATTTAGGATATTCGACTGTTTCTCATTCTTATTCTAAAGTAAACATTTAAAAGTCACTTGAAATTAACATTAATAGAAACTCAAATTCCATGTACGTCTTGGAATGAATTTTCAAAGTTAAACGGTATCAAAATTTGAGTCGTTACCTCTAAAATAGAGGGCCAATGAATACAGTGCAACAATATTTAACAATAAGTAACACTACATTTGAGGTGACTGTAGAAAATATACAAGTTTCATTTATGTAATATAGATACAAAAGGAATAAAATGATTTGCAAATCGGTATGCTGATACTGATGAGAAAAATTTACAAACAGTTAAAAATTTTCGCCATCGTCGCAATTTTTCTTCATAATTAGCGCACAGGCAAAATAAATCACATTAGTACATTTTCATATATCTTACAAATGTGAAATTAAAATATGTGTAAAATAAATTACACAAGGAAGTAGTGTTGTGTGAAAATCAAGTACCGTAAATTAATTTGTCAAATTCCTGGAAATCCCGATAGCATGGCAGAGATAATTGTTGATGACCAAAAAGAATTGCATATCATTGGTCAAACATCAGCTTAAAATTTTCTTAATAATGTCATATGTATATGGTTCTAACATCCAAAATTAGTAAGATACAAGAAAATCAGACTTGCTTATGTCACAGCATGTTTTGATTTACTTTTTGTATTTTATATTTACTATTTTTAAATATTGATATTTTTGCAAAAAACTGTCCAGCTTAAAATCATGTGAAAGAGATTGAGTGCAACGATGAAATCATGGCACATTTGAACAAAGCATCGTGAGCATTTTGTACAATTTAACAAAACACAATAAAAAAATAAAGATTAAGATGCAAAAATTTTAGTGTTCCCCTGATAATCATTGACTAGATTTTTAACGGCAAGTTACAATAAATGAGGCAAGTTTGAATTAATGTTACTTGGAAAATAATTTGTAATGCCTTTCAATCTAAGCTATTCATGTCGTAGCATCAAGCATGAACATGAAACTAGAACGTTAAAGCACGTCATGGTGCCCCCACTCCTCCTTTTTCCTTATTTATAAAGATAATTTAAATTCTTGTCCTGAAGAGGTCACAGTGTATTTTAAAAGAATTCTGAAACACTGTAAAATAGTTTAAATATATGACCTTTGTAGAACAACGACGTTACGGCTTGTTGATATTGATATTTTGTACCTTGTACGTTTTAAAAAAAAAAGATTGCGACTAGACCTCTCCTTATTCAAACTTAGGATTTCACTTCATGTGTATACTATTTTGAGATAATTCATTTCGAGAACGAATTCCTTTCAAAAGTAAGGTAATCAAAATATAT